ACACCAACACCCCAGCACAGTTGTGTCTCATCTCCCCCCCCCCCCCCACATGCATGCAGCTTTGTGAGTGTTTCCAACACCGTGCGTCTGACGGACAGGACAGAGCAGGGTTATTAACAGACACAGAGGAAGGAACCGGCTGCGGCTTTATAAAGAACGTGTAGGTGGTGGTTATGTACTGCACGGACAGCTGAGGCTTAGTGGGTGTTTAAAGTGTGATGTGTGAGCGTAACATAATTACACAGGTATGGGAATTCTCGAAGACATGGCAGGAACCCACTGTGAGGACGAGTGGGCGAATAAGCATCTGAGAGCGCACGAATGCGCATGAGCATCAGCAGTTTCCGAGAGCACATGCACTTGTAAGCTTGGATTAATTTTTTTCCCCAAAACGTTATTGATACAGTTGAAGTGAATGTGTCCATGTGGATGAGGTAATGCATGATCACATTAAAATCTTGGATGAACTGTAACAGAGGCACTTAAGACACACTTAGGAGATTAATATAATAATAATAATAATAATAATAATAATAATAATAATAATAATAATGAGACTTTTTAGGGGATGTTAGGCTGAGAAAGAAGGAAAAGCCTGATTTGTATGATTGTTAGGCTATAGTCCTTGTGGCTGGTGGCTAAACACACTCTTCCAAAGACTGCAGATTAAAAATGTCCTGAATACAATAAAATAAAATAAACAAGTGTTTAGGAGGCGAGCAAACTCTCTGCAGTGAAATAAAGACACATATCCAGCGTATCTGTAGACAGAATTAAGACACTGTTTGCACTACATTTGTCTAGATGTAACAGCCAACGAGTACTTCCACCAGGCTGTGAAGAACCTCATGAGTCAACAAATCTCAGCTTTGAAATCAATGACTTGCTTTTAAAAGCATCTGTGGAGCCAAGGCCTGGAACAGAAAATCTGAGGCACTACTTAAAAAAAACAACCTACTTCATTATCACACAGAGAGAAGCACATACTGAATGCACATTTGCTGAAAGAGTCAAAGTTGGAAACAGGCAAATTCTATATGTTTTTTAAGATTATCTTAAGAAAACTCCAAAGCTAAAGAAAACAGCGTGACGAAATAACACCAGGAGCAAACAATCATTTAAATAAGCATTTAGAAATGATGTAATAAATAATAATAGCATCTTTGTGAGCAGTAAAGTATGACAAGCATGTGAGAGAAAACAGCGTTTGAACATCAGGACAGTGGAGAAAAGTGCCGCCATCGCAATATCATCAGTACTTTTACCCCGATGAGCAGAATAAGAGCAGAGAATTACTGGAAGCTACGATCACGTCAGAGCCTGCATGTCCAAACAACAGAGCTGCGTCTGGAGCAGAGCCTCACTTCATTATTATAATGTGATGCTGGAGTCGTTTGAAAACGGGGCTGCAAAATTTATTGTCATCAGTGAGCGCAATATTTATATCACAATGGCAAATGCAATGCCAGCATGTTTTGCATGTAAATATTTCTGGACAACACAACAGTCTGGCCACGATGCTCACCCCCGGTTTCGGTGACAGAAGAGAAAATGAGGAGTGATGAAAATGTGGGTTTATGGCGATCACAATTGTCATTGCAATATTACACAGCAATAATACTGCAAGTCTTTTTATTTTAACGTGATATCAGTGTCATAATGTCACTGCTTGTAACATTGCAGTGTGCAAATGGAGGATAGTGATGATGATTTAGAGATGAAAAAACATAAAAAAATAAACAAGAAAAATAAGCCAAAAAAAAAAAAAAGTGGAATAATGTGGAATGTGGGGGGGGGGGGGGGGGCACGCTGCATCACACAGATTGGACTGCTAAAGGAACAGGCACCTGAGCAGCAGGAGGGCGGGACAGGAGGAAGGAAGCAAGGAGGGAGATGAAAAAGGAGCGTGGTGTGTGTGCACACCAACAAAGGTGGATACAACATAAAACCTCTTTACAGCACAAACTCCTGTTGCTTTGGATGCCTCAGTCCTTTCCTCTTACATCTTATGGCAGACTACAACATAAAAGCTCACTTATACTAATGGATGCATGCAAGTGAATGCACCTTCTCCTGAACATTATCCATCTCTGATTAATTTATTTATTTAAAGTAATGCAAGATCAATTCTTTCATGGCCACCTCAGAACCACACTCCGCTGCGCATTTATCAATGACCTGCGCCTTCGTCACTGTCTCAAAGTTTACGAGACCCTACGAACTTTATGACCCTCGTTTGTACATGAACTGAATACTGAGAGTGAAGAAAATAAATAATGTGGTGAAGAAGTAAAAGAAGAGAGCCCAGATCCCCGAAAGGAATGCACGCTAAAAAAAGCAGACAAGTTGCAGCACATTAAGAGTGCATAAAGACCAGTATCTTAGCACTGGTGAACTCAAGCTGTTTCAAAGCCGTTAACTAGTACAATAAGAATATTAATACTGTCCAACTGTCCTAATATGGGCCCACGGCAGGTAAAATGATAAGCAAGTCCCCTTAAAGTGACTATCATGCACTTCCTGCAGATGTTTATAGTCCCAGCGTAACACGGTGCTACAGCAGATTAAAATGTTATTTCACGCAGTGCCTCCAAATGTAATAATGAGTTCTGCAAGGTGACTTTTCCTTCAAAGGGTCACTGTGACGTTTTACTGAGAACAGAACTGTGAGCTATTAGCAGGAACTACAACAAAGCGCAAGTCCATACTGTAGATTAACTTTAAACTTTTTTAATTTTAATCTCCAATTATTCAGTTTACCTCGAGCTGTAACGTTATTAAAAAGAAGTTTTCCTTTCTTTGTTTTGAGTCTGTTTTAATTTGAATTCAAGATGAAGACTCTACAGTCCTGCTTCTTTTTAAAGCTCTGTAAAAAAAATATCATTTTTAATTCAAATTAAAACATACTCAAAACAAAAAAAGTAAACTTTCTTTTTATTA